AAAAGCTCAGGATTTAAATGAAGGATGAGCAAGACTTAAAAAACAGACTTTGGTGAAGACCCAGCAGAATCCTCAGTTGGAAGAGGACACCTTTCTAAACATACCCCACAGGAAGGGCACTTCTGAAGGGGTTTCTTCTCTACACAGAGTCAGCAGGTAAAGGCACCTCATGCCCATGGGATTAGAGGAAACCTTCAACACTCAGACACGGGGCTTCAGCAGCCAGCCCCAAAATTGCTGTCACCCTCACACATCTGACAGCAGGAGCAACAAGTGGTGAAAGAAAGAACCTTGAGATATTGTTGGGAGTTCAAAGAAATTAAAGTGAAACCCTCAAGAGCAAAACAAATGGCCAGGGGAGCTGTGGGAGAATGAAGCCATCATGTGAAGGGCAGGATAACTAGAGGGCTTCTGCTCTCAGGCTTCACGTCTGAGTCATCAGACAGAGCAGAGTCAGAAGCAGAAGGCAATTCACACCACACCTTTCTTTAGAGATGTGGAACATCAGTGCAGGCTCATTTCTCCCCAGGAAAGACAAAACCCAAATGACTCTGCAGGAGAAGGGGAAGTTAAACCAATTTTACCACCTGCAAAATACACTTTTTATTACTGCTTAGTCTGTAGATGTTGCTTGTTTTCTACCTGCCTACAGAGAAACTGCAGCACTGGGTGATAGTTAAAGCGTTCAAGAACATTTCTGTTCATCAGGACATGTTTTACCTTCCACACGTGTTACCTGCCAGCTTGTCCAAAGGAGTGTTATCCAGCAAGTGGGATTGATAAATCTTTGGATTTATTACTTCTTGTAAGATTGATTACTTACAGTAATGCTGCTGCCAAACCAGGGGCTACCTGCTCCCTCAGTGTCCAACAGGACAGCTGAGGACCCCCAGCACACAACCCCCAAATCCTGCACAGCCCACCCTGCAGCACTGCCTGCTCCTCAGCTCCCTAACTCTTGGGAGTGGATGAAAACCCCAACTAAGGGATGAGATGAATGAAGGGAAGACTAGCACCTCTGATGGGATTGCAGGTTACTGGGTCAAAGAGCCAGCCAGCCCAGTATGGTGTCTCTGATACCAACCAACAGCAGGTACAGAGACAGAGCAAAGAAAACACCTTCTGTGCTGCAATCAACACACTCAAGCCTCAGAAATTTGTGGCTTAGGGACCTCTTCATCCATCCTTGGGACTTGTAAATGTCATTCTAAATGCCATTCAAGACTAGGTTGGATGGAGCTTGGAGCAACCTGGGCTTGTGGGAGGTTGGAACTAGATGATCTTTAAGGTCCCCTCCAACCCAAACCATCCTGGGATTGTCTCCACTGATTTGGCTTCCATGAATTTGTCCAGTTGCTCTTTGAACTCAGGGAAGCTTGTAAGGTCCACATGTCATCACCATCTGAAGAGCTCTGCACAGCTTCACTGGTGAATTTGCTCCTGATGGCTCCTGGGCAGCAGGGAACAGATCCTTCCAACTTCACTGGCTTTTTCCCCATGAAAGTGACCACATCATTCAGCCTTGTGCTTCTCTTCAGCAAATTGCTGAGCTATGGAAAGGCCACTATCACATTGAAGCTTCAAAGCTCCTTCAAGAGCCTTTGGTGAGGAACATCATTAAGCACCACTGGAAAAACCTAAGCAAGCCACACACAACCAGGTCATCTCTCCACACGGCTGCTGAGTCCCTTGCAGAGCTCCTTGCAAAGCCCAGCATCCTTCATACATCAAACATGTCCCTCCTTAGCTCACACTGATCAATGCATCACTAGCACCATGATTTAGAACAAGTTCTTTTTGGTTTTAAACTGATTAACAGATGTTCCCACACAAGCAACAACCAAAAAAGCTGATTGTTTCAGGAACAGCAGAACAGACCCCACGGGGAAATGATTTGCCAGATCAGATACCAAAACCAGAACAACTCCTAGCTCAGTTTCCCAATTTATCCACAACTTATATTACCTGCCACCTCTTCCAGCAACTTTCCCAGGTGTGTAAAGCAACATAAAAGTATCAGTATTCAAGAGAAGGACCAGCTTTGAAACTGAACCAGAGCAGGGTAATGAGGGTTTGATGTTCTGCACTTTGAAATGTAAAGGAAACTGTGAATGGAATTCCAGCTTTATTCCTCAGACAACTCTTTAAGTTACAAAATCAGGTTTAGCCCCAAGATTTCAATTAAAATATTGCCAAATTTTCTTTTGAGTGGGTTCTAACAAAAGAAGTGAAAGAGGAGGACTGGGGCAGGCAGTCTCAAAGAGCCAGCACTACCCTCACTGGGAGACACTCAGAAAAAAGCACACCGAGTTCCAAAGGCAGCTTTTCTTCCTTCCTCACCCTGCCCATTACTCCAAGCAGCTCAGAAAGTACAGGAGATTTTAAAAAGGACAGAATGAGAGCAGTGATGTCAGCAGCACCGAACAAGCTCTTCTGGGAGACCTCTCCTATTGATCTGCTAATGGTCTCTTCAAAGAGACCTCACACCCTGGCAGAGGGAGAGAGCAATTACAGGCCTGGCCAGCAGCTCACTTGTTTTTCAAGGGGATGGAGCTGCTTCTCAGGTCAGTGTGTATCTCACTTTACTCTTCTCTCAATGCAGCTTTGTCCCCTCTTGACCAGGTTTTGAGGCCAGATCTTTCCAGAAGTGGGACTCGGCACTGATTCCCACCAGACCCCCTGACATGGCTGGGAACTCAGCAGCCTCCTTCCCAGCCAAAAACCCTGAGCTCTGCACCTCACAGGTTTCTTTTAACACTCCCTTTTCCATGGCACAGCCTGGTAATTCACAACAGGGACAAGAAAAGCAGTTGTTCCGCTGAAATCTCTGTCTCTGCACCTCTCAGACACTTTCTGCAACACAGACAAATGTTCTGCTCATTCTTGCTCCTGCAGGACCAGGGAGGTGATTCTTTGCATTTACTTGGCTCTGGTGAGATCCCACCTGGAGAACTGGGTCCAGTTCTGGAGTCCCCAACACAAGAAGGTCATGGAGCTGTCAGAGTGAGCCCAGAGGTGGTAATGGAGCTGATCCAAGGGCTGGAGCAGCTCTGCTCTGGAGCCAGGCTGGGAGAGTTGGGGTGTTCAGCCTAGAGAAGAGAAGGCTCCAGGGAGACCTTAGAGCACCTTCCAGTGCTTGAAGGGGCTCCAGGAAAGCTGGGGAGGGGACTGGGACAAGGGCAGGGAGGGAGAGGACAAGGGGGAAGGGATTAAAACTGGAGGAGGGAGATTGAGATGAGACATGAGAAGTAAATTCTTTGGTGTGAGAGTGGTGAGAGCCTGGCCCAGGTTGCCCAGGGAAGCTGTGGCTGCCCCATCCCTGGCAGTGTTGAAGGGCAGGTTGGATGGGGCTTGGAGCAACCTGGGCTGGTGGGAGGTGTCCCTGCCCATGCAGGGGGTTGGAGTTGGTGGCTCCAGCCCTTGAATCATCTCTTTGGCCTCCTCCTTCACACCCTGCACCTGGTTGGAAATCACACATTAATGGGGCAAAGTACCACAAGAAGCACAGGCTGCCGAGTCAGCTGAAGCCTGGAGCTCAGGGAAGCAGCTCCTAAGATGTTTTTGGCAAGAAACTAATCAAGTGCTGCAGTTTCTAAAGGAAGTAACACACTTGGTCCAGAAAGTGCCAAATCTGGGGGTTTGCAGCTCCTCATGTTTGTGTCTCTGTGGACTAGGAGACCTTCTGAGGATCACCCAGGGGAAGAACAAAAAGATCCACAAAACCAGACTCTCCTCAGTGGTCTCCTGTGCAGACACCAACATTCCTCAGCTTCATTCAACTTGGATATTCCAACTATGAACACAAGCTGGCCTGACAGCTTTACAGAATAGAGACACTGACACCTCTGAAACCCCCCCAGAGCCATTTTCCATTCTTTTCTTTCAGCACAATCCTCAAGCAGCTCAATATGTTTAAAAATGTCACATGTCAAACTCCTTCCATCCATCAGCCAAATTCCAACACACCCGTCACACCTAAAACCACCAGAACAACCACTGATTAATTCTGGGGTTTTTTGACAGTTCATTTACTGTCATTTTGGAATCAGAACCTCAGTCATTAACACCTTCCCAGAGGGTTTAATCTCACAAAGTCACGGCATCCAGGAATTTAATCACTCTCTTATGAAAGAGGTTAGAAAAGAAGCACAGAATCCTGGAATGGCAGGTTGGGAGGGACCTCAAGAATCATCTGGTCCAACCTTACGAGGTAATAATACAATTGTAATGAGGTGGCCCAGCACCCTGTCCAGCTGAGTCTTAAAACTGTCCAATGTGGGAGAATCCACCATGTCCCTTAGGAGATTGTTCCCATGTCCAACTGTTCTAAGGGTGAAAAAAAACTGTGAAAAGCTTCATTTTTTACTATTGCCAGTGGATTGCCCCTTCAGGCACTGGAAGGTGGTCTAAGGTCTCCCCTGAGGGAGGGTTGGTCCCTTCCAACCTTCACCACTCTGTGATTACCAAGCCACCACAAAGCAAAGCCAAGCTGGAACCTGCTGCCCACATCAGGCTGCTACAGACACTCCAGGGAGCAACAAAAAGACTCCTACTAGTAGACAAAAATGTTCGCAATTGTTTTGTCAGAGGTTAAATATTCTTTTGGCAGACTTCAGAGGAGAGAAGAGGAACCCCAAGGAACCCAGGGAGCAAGGACAGACCATGTATTTTTAGTGTTAAGGCAAAGGAGGTTACATCTGGAAAGAGGAAATGGCCCCAAGTTGTGCCAGGGGGGTCTAGACTGGAGATTAGAAGAAACTTCTTCCCTGAAACGGCCGTTAAACCCTGGCCCAGGCTGCCCAGGGAGGTGGTTGAATCTCCATCCCTGGAGGGGTTTCAAAGCTGTGAAGATGTGGTGCTAAGGGACATGGGTTAAGCTGGGTAGAGTTGGGTTAATGGTTGGAAGAGCTGGGTTATGGTTGGATTTGATGACCTCAAAGGTCTTCTCCAACCAGAAGGATCCTGTGACTTCCCCTGACCACAGCTGCTGCCACACTCACCTCTCCTGAGTAGCTGTACTTTCCTTTCAGGATCTGGCGGTACAGGCGGGTGCGGTTGTCGTCCTCAAAGGGCATGGTGCCGCTCAGCAGGATGTAGGAGATCAAACCCAGGGACCACATCTCCACATAGTTAGTGTATGGCTTCCTGACCAGGATCTCGGGGGCGATGTACTCCGGGGTCCCACAGGTGGTTTTCATCAGGCAATCATCTCCCTTCTTCCGGGCGCTCGCCAGCCCGAAGTCCGTGATCATGATCTTGGAGTCGGTGCCCGGGTGATAGTACAGCAGGTTCTCCGGCTTCAGATCCCGGTGGGTGATCCCCAATGTGTGCAAGTACTTCACCCCATCCAGCACCATCTGCAGCACCCTGGTGGCATCCCTCTCAGTGAAGGACCCCTTGGCAATGATCCGATCGAAGAGCTCCCCCCCGGTGGCCAACTCCATCACCATGTAGACGCGGTCCTGGGTCTCGAAGACCTCGATCAGCTGGATGATGTTGGTGTGCCTGACGCGCCTCAGCACGCTCAGCTCCTGCTCGCACACCTCCCGCGCCTCCCGGTACTTGGTCTCGATCATCTTGATGGCGTAGGGCTGCTTGGTGGCCTTGTGCTCCACCCTCACCACCCTGCTGAAGCTGCCTCTCCCGATCAGAGCCTTGATGTCGTACTTGGCCGTCACGCGGGGGTCGAACTTGGCGCGGTACTTGGCCACCTTGTTCTTGCGGGGCTCGGGCTGCTCCAGCTGGGCAGGGAGGGGGTTCCCAGGAGAAGGGTTGGCCTGGCGGGGAGGGGAGGGAGAGCCAGCCTTGATGACAGCCCCACAGTCCCCCCGGATGAAGTGCTTGTAGATGTCATTGTAGCCCGTGTAAGGCTCGACTTTCTTCACCAGGTCCAGCTGCACGTCTTTGGGGGGCTCGGGAAGCACTTTGCTGGTCCCACAGCCCATCACTGAAGGGTCTTAATTCCCCATCAAGGCATTTTCCCAAGGAAGCAGCAGCAGCAGCAACCACATCCAGGACAACTCCTGCATGGGAACCTTAGGAGCATGAGAAGAAAGAGAGAAATGGGAATCCCCAAGGGGAAAGGGACAGAGTGCACCTGCATCAGCAGGTTTCCTGATGGCACCCAGCTGGGGTGGGTGGTGACACCCCAGAGGGCTGTGCTGCCAGCCAGGGTGACCTGGACAGGTTGGAGAGTTGGGCAGGGAGAAACTTCATGACATTCACCAAGGGCAAGTGTAAAGTTCTGCACCTGGGGAGGAACAACCCCATGGATCAGTGCAGGGTGGGGGGAACTGCTGCAGAGCAGTGCTGGAGAGAAGGACCCTGGGGTCCTGGGTGACCATGAGCCAACAATGTGCCTTGGTGGCCAAGAAGGCCAATGGCCTCCTGGGGGGCATAAAGAACAGTGTGGCCAGCAGGTCAGGGAGGCTCTGCCCCTCTGCTTTGCCTGGTGAGGCCTCCTCTGTGTGCAGGTCTGGGCTCCCCAGTTCATGAAGGACAAGGAGCTGCTGGAGAGAGTCCAGCACAGGGCACTGAGATGCTGGGGGAACTGGAGCTTCTGCCTGTGAGGAAAGGCTGGGAGAGCTGGGGCTGCTCAGCTGGAGAGGAGGAGCCTGAGGGGGGATCTGATCAGTGCTGATCAGTATCTCCAGGGGGTGTCAGGAGGATGGGCCAGACTCCTCAGAAGGCTCCAGAGGAACTTTCCTCTTACCATCACCAGGCCTCTCTCCACTCATTCACCACCTCTCCAAGCAACAACTCAGCAGGAGCAGCACCACAGGAACTCTGGCTGGTTTTCCATCAGGAGAACAACGTGGAGACACAAGAACTCTCTTAGAGGGACACCCAGAGGCAGTTCAGACTCCACATCCAACCTGGAAAGAAACCAAGGCTTCAGTGAAGATTCAGTTTTAAAAGCAGACACCCAAGTTACACCCTGGAGAAGCCTCACCATGTCAGGGCCACCAACCATGCACAAACACACCTCTGCTAAGGTGCAGGCAGCAGGAACCAAAACTAACTCCACAGAAGCTCTAAGTGACTTTCACTGGGGCCTGTCCTGCTCATCCAAAGCCCCCTGACTTAGAAACAAATGAAATCCTATAGCTAGTCCCAAGTAATGCCTCTCATGGAGAGCTCTTCCCTGCTGTGTTATAGTTTAAGGGAGTGGGAGCAGCTCCAAACAACAATCCCACACGTAGAAAAGCACTTGGGTCAAACATCCCCCCCTAAACAAAACCAGTGAGGAGCAAAAGTTGAGCTTGGAAACATCATACAACCATCATGACAGTCACTGACACCAGGCTCATACTCCCTGCATGTCAGGGGCTCCTCCTTCCTACCCTGAGGGCCCCAGTGCCACATGTCACAGCCACCTCCATGTCTGTGCAGGTGGAAATGCTCCTGTGCCATGATCACCCAGAGCTCTGGAGAAGGCAATGAGAAATCAGAGAAATGAGGCATCACAAACCCCCTCCAGGCAGTAAACCCCATCCCCAGCAGGTGCTGAGGCAGGACAGCACCTCCCAGCTGTGCCTGCAGGTGGAGAGAAGGAACATGGGGGTTTAGGCTTCAATGTCCACCTCTCTCTCCTTGGACAACCAGCACATTGCATCCCAGGGCTGGAATGGGCAAGACCTCAGCACAGAAGTGTTCTCCACTGCTCTGAATGAAGCAGGACCTGAGGGATTCCATCCCTGAGTGACTCCATCCCTGAGAGTGTCCCTGTGTCAGTCACCTGGCCACCCCCCCCAGGCTGAGCAGCCCCTCCACCACCAATTAAGTACCTCACGACTTGAATTAACTTCCCTCTGCATAAGGGAACATGAAGACACCAGCTCTGAACCGTGTGAGAAACGCTCCCACACAGGAACCCTCTGGCCACACCAGCACAGGGAGGGAAAAGCCCTGAACACCCCTCACCTTTAGTTTTACTGATCAGTTTTTAAAAAATGTACCTTACACCTGACTCAGACCTGCCCTTCGGGGCACGACTTGAATTAACTTCCCTCTGCATAAGGGAACATGAAGACACCAGCTCTGAACCGTGTGAGAAACGCTCCCACACAGGAACCCTCTGGCCACACCAGCACAGGGAGGGAAAAGCCCTGAACACCCCTCACCTTTAGTTTTACTGATCAGTTTTTAAAAAATGTACCTTACACCTGACTCAGACCTGCCCTTCGGGGGGCAGCTCAGCCCCCGGGGGGGGTTCTGAGGGGAAACCCGGGGCTGGGGCCGCAGCAGCGCAGCGGGGCCGCAGCCGGGAGCAGAACCGGACCGGCCGAACCAAAGGGGGAGGTGCACCAAACCCCA